TGTGCAACCTCGGCGTCCAGCGGGGGAGGCTCATGACCGCGAGCGAGGCGATGCCGGTTCCCAAGGACAGTTGCGCACAGATGAATGCTCCTGCCTCGGAGTTTGCAGAACCTGGGCATCAAAGTGGGGACTGGGAGCCCAGAGGACAAAGACAGGGAGGTGGACGCTGCGGGAGGCGCTGGGAGCGCACTCGTCCCCAAAGAAGACTCAGGAGCCAGTTCCTTCTGTGCTTTCGAGGAGGAGGACGGGCTCCGACGGGGCGGAGGGTGGGCGACTGGCAGCGGTGCCCGAGCGCCCTCTGCACGATGCTCCACCCACCAGACTGGACCTGCTGCTCTGAGCTGCCCCTGGATGGGAACAGGCGAAAAGGGAGCCCAGCCACCGTGCCCGGGGACAGACCCGTCCTGCTCCAGCCCCAGCCCTGGACGCTAATGGAGTGGAAAGGGGTCCACCTGCTGGGTTCTGTGCCCAGAAATAAACGCTAGCAAAGCACGGCCCGCGTGGCTGGGGCTCACGGGGACTCGTCCTCCCAGAGCAGCCGCTGTGATCGCCTGGCTGCTGTTTCCACCGTGTCCAGGCCCCGGAGAGGGTGCCCCTGCCTTGCTGCCTGCGGGTGGGGGTGGGCATAGAGCCGATGGGGTGTCACACAGCCCCACGGGGCGTGCTGGTCCACCCGCATGGCTTCCCGTCCCCGTTGGGCTGGCTGCTGACCGAAGACTGGCACAGGGTCGGCTGGTTTTTCAGAACTTGGACTCCAGCCTCACCTACACCCGGGCCTCAGCACCTGGCCCTCCCACCCACACTGCGCCCTGTCCCGGCCCCGAGCCTGCGCACAACCAGGCGTGTGTGCCTCGGAAATCAGACGGTGCCCCTGGAACTAGCAGAGTCTCTGACCTTCAGGAACGGTGCCCAGGCTCCCATCCGACTCGCACACAGCGTCCGCCCCCCCCGCCCACCAAGCCAGGGAGGCCGCGATGTGAGAGCGAGGCAGGTCCTGCCCTGAGGCTGAGCCCAGAAAGGCCTGTCTGGGGCTTGCGGAGGACACACTGGCACCTGGAGGGGCCGAGTCCCCTCTGTGCTCCTGACACGCAGTGCGAGGCTCACCCCCTGCCATGGGCTCTGCCCAGTCGCCCTGGTGTATGGGAGGGCCGTGGGGTGGTGACCGGCACACAGTAGGAGCGCGTGTGCACAGCTGTGACCTCAGGCATCTCCGTAGTTTCTGTGTAACGCCCACCCCCAAAGCAGACAGGACTGTCCCGTGTGAAAGCCTCATGTTGCTGGTCTACAGACACCGGAGACGCCTGGGTCAAATGAACAAATGAATGAGTGAATGAGTGAGTGAATGAATGAATGAGTGAATCAATGAATGAGTGAGTGAGTGAATCAATAAATGAGTGAGTGAATGAATGAGTGAGTGAATGAATGAATGAATGAGTGAGTGAACCAATGAGTGAGTGAGTGAGTGAGTGAATCAATAAATGAGTGAGTGAATGAATGAATGAGTGAATCAATGAATGAGTGAATGAATGAGTGAATGAAGTCGTCCCAGAGAGAGGCTGAGGCCCTCTGGCCCGCCGTGTCCCTCGTGGCTGCACGTGGCTGACCAGCTGCTCTGCCGGAGACAGTGTTGCTCTCTGTGGCGAGCGGGCTGCCACCCCCTGACATGTAAAATCCACGTGTGTGAAGAGAGGCTACACATGGTACATGTGACCCACACCCGAGTGTCCTGAGCATTTAGGGGCACATGTGTCGTGTGCCTTGTGCGTGTGCTCTCTGCTCCACGCCTCCCGCAGCCGCGGCACGTGCTGCCTGCGACCCGT